ATACTGCCTAAAAGAAAAGCACAAAACAAAATAAAATAATTATGATATATATAATTTTACCGTCGCATATATGAGATTAATTGTTGTTTTCGATCAGCAAATGATAAATTTGGATCTAATGGCCATGTAAAATGTTCATTATTTTGTATTGTTCGAGATGAATCCAATCTGAAATTTAAAATAAGAAATTCAATATATTACCAAATATAAACTTACAATAAATCCGTATTGATTAATTCATCAATTTCAGATGATGATGATGATATATAAGATGATTCTTCTAATTCTGAAGTTTCTTGTTGTTGTGACTCAAGATGAATACGTTGTTCAATAATATTTTCAATCGTAGTATCTATGGATTGTGTTCGTTGTAAATCAGAAAGAATAATTTCAAACGGAATTTGTGGAAATATGTGTTGAATATTTTGGACCATACTTGTTAATTGTAAACTGGTAAGACGAGAACGACCAAAATGAAATGGAAAATTATGATTCATTTCAATTGAAAAACTTGGTAACCATGATGAATAACGATTTGCATGAAAACGAAATAAATGATTAAGTCCTCGGTTTTGATCATTATTAATGGCTAAATTGTGAGCATTTGTTCTAAGACCTCCAAAAGATAGAGATGGCCAAAAACGAAAATTAGATGTTGATTGAATTGGAGTAGAATTAGTAGGTGTTACTTGAATGGTATCTTCATGTAAAGATAAACGACAAATTGGACATGTTGTATCGTGTTCAAGCCAACTTCGAAGACAAATTTCATGAAATAAATGACCGCCTAAAAAATAAATCATTTTGTTTATTTTATTAAATTTAATCTTAAATAATTTACATGGTAAACGTCGAGCTTTTTCAAATTTTTCCCAACAAATCGAACAAACTTCTTCTAATGTCGATAGATAATTTTGTTGACGATATTTTCGTTCAAGATCATATTTAGTTAATAATGGATATTTTTTTTCCATACGTATCATTGCCATACGATATAATTTATGTCGTTTTAAACGTTGTGTTAATTCATTAAATAATGGTTTCAATTGCATAAAAAATATTAATGATGACATTGACATATATGTTTGATGATAAAATAACATTTGTAAATGATGTAGTATATCAATGGATAACGTTAATATATCAAATAAAAATTCAAGATAATACATAACATTTGAACGATATTCATTTGATGTTTGTAAATAATTATTTCGTTGCTGTTGAATAAATATATATTTAAATAAAAGAAAACTTATATCAAGTGTTAATAATATTGTTTCAGCTAACATAAAAAAAAATATTGATAAACCACCATATTTTAAACCAATACGAAAACAAATTGTAAATAGACCAGAACATAAACAAAGTAATGAAATAAGTAAACCAAGAATTTTGATAAATGTTTGACGTAGACTTGATACAGAAACTGATATCTATTCAACACAAAATTAGGTCTATAAAAAAAAGAGAGAAAAAACTTTTCAGCTTACTAATTCAAATCGATCTTTAGCTAATTGACAACAAAGAATAGCAATGACTAAAATAAAAAACCATGATAACCAAAGAATAAGTTCATTTAGATTTTCTAAACTAAGTACACCAAAAAGAAAACAAAATTTATAAAATGCATAATTCCAAAATTTATCTTTTATACGTTGTAATTCAGTAAGACGTAATTCACCAAAAACTAATATTTGTAATTGTTTAACAACTAAAGCTATTGAGCAATAAATAGCATTGACGAGTATCTAAAATAATTCAATGAATAAAAATCTTTTTCGATTTCTTTAAAAATTCTTTTCTTTTTACTAGAAGTGAAAATGATTGAGATATGATAATTGATAGTAATGTTCTAATATAAGCAAAAGAAAAAGGCTTTTCAATGGAATAGAAAATTGTTTGATTATTTATCGTTCCGTTTATAATTGTTTCATTTGTTGAATTAATAATAATCGATGAATCGTTTTTATTTGATTGAATTAAATGATGAAAATAGAAAATATTACCAAAGAATAATGAAGTACTAATTATTGTATAATATTGAAGTGATGGTAATGGTATTTGATCGAATATATGTTGAAGATGTAAAGGCATGATTTTACAACTTTTAATTGAAAACAATAACTATTACATAGGTAATAATTTTAATATGCGCTTTAAGGTAATGACACAGACAATTTATTCTCGAATATGATTGCAAATAGGGTACGAACTAATCATGATGATTATAGGATCAATTAAAAAGAAATAAAGTAAAGTACCAACATAAATAACGATACAAAACTATCGAACAATTTTTTTTTACGTCGATATATTGCTTGCAAGCATGCAATAAAAAAGAAAAGTATGTAGCTTATATAAAATGTCGAAAGATGTCTTACACAGACGGAAGAAATAGATAGAAAATATTCACACTATTTATAAAGCCTATATTAGATTATTTGATTCTCGTGCAGAAATGATTAGTCTCTTAGATTGAACAAATTCCAATACTTATTTTATTCTGTTTGTTTCTTTATATAAACCGACAAGTGTTTTTATTTTTGTGTATATTTCATTGTTATTATATATTGAAATATTAAATTACAAATGAAATTAACATCTTTAACAATAACTCTATATTACAAAAGAATGTTTCTAATTTATAGTGGATCTTCACTATTAATAAGCTAGTGATAATATGAAAGATTTTAAAACAATAATGTATACTTTTTACTTTCTTTATAATTTTAATATGCTTTCTTATTTCAACATGTCTATCATTACGATTTCAAGAGAATTATTCCAAAACTATTATTATAAAGTATTCGTAGAAAGTGCATGTCGTCATTTCTTTAAGAGAAAAACATTTTGCTCTTTGTTTGTTATCTTCATACAACAGTGTTGTATTTTTATTCTTTCATTTGTAGTAATTCAGTATTAAATTTATAGTAATCGTATAAAAGTAACTAAAGTTGAATTATTTTGCCTGATGTTTTTACTACAAAGAGGATCCATTAAACTTGGATCGCAAACAGCAACCTGGGATCGATCGATTTTAATGCATTGGACTTAGAAACAAAAACATGATTTGTTTCCCTAGATATTAAAAAAAAAGGCTTTCTTGACACTTTTCAACTTTACCGCTATTTAGCAGCGTCCATATCTATGCTTTTATTGACAAATGAAGCTTCAAATGTTGTTTATGTGTCGCAGATAGGAAACTTTATTCTGTGATTATCTTAAGGCCTAGTGATATCTTCACGACTTGTGTGGAACTTCATACAGATCTTCACTCCACTGATTACTATAATCATGAAATTTCCAAAGAATATTTGATTAGAGCAAACAACTCACTGAAGACGATTTCAAGATCAATGATTGAAAGTGGTCGGAATTATAGGTTGCTTTTCGATGAATTCCATTAAATCTCATTTTGAGAGTAGCTAAGGACCACAGGTTGATGACTCAAGCAAACTGCAATCGTTTGATATAAACATTTTTTTCGGTGATAGAGGCAACACTGAACTCTCGAAACAAGGAACATGTTCTGCGAAATGTCTTATTAATGTTGAAAAATTCTTGTCTGGTTAAGAGATCCACGTTGTTTTTCTAGCTTCGTCGCACGAAGGTCAACAAAGTCATCATTTCTATTTGCGATAAAAACTGATCATGTTTGGCTTGCCGCCAAAATATGAGACCAAAGGATTCGAAATTAAGATGCTTATTACCTGTTAGTGGAATTTTGCATCGCTACTACATTTGTTTGTGGTATATCAAGTTGTTGTCGAACTTTCTTAAATAAGCGTATATACATTTAGACATCTCAATGTATTGCTTTTTTTCTTATCTATCTGTATTGACTATGGCTCTAATGAATAATACAATAGGAAACCGTACGAAAACTGAGTTCATGGAAACGCATCAATAAACTGTATTTTTTTTTGTTTTCTCACCAAATCAAATCTTATCTTTCCTTTTAGTTATCAATTTAATTGGACAAATAATAACTCATAAATCAAATGGATTAAAGAAATAGTTATAAATTTAGATTCTATGCATTTTAGCATTTAACAGCTTTTTTTCCTTTATTATTTTTAGGAGCGAAAGAAAAAAAGATAAGATACATAAATAACAAAGACAGCAATAAACTCAAATGACAAACTCTACAGTCTAATTGTTCGAGATTCTATAGGTTTTCGTTAAGACAGAAAAATCTTAGTGCTCGATTAGAAACAATGAAAGATTAGTAGCTTATCTCATAGATGAGAGAACACAAATGAGAACGATATTAACTAGATCTTAATAAATAACTCCAACGGACAATAATAAACACAACTAAAACAACAAATTCCTTTCTTACTTTTTGTTTTCAAAATAAATAAATAAAAATACCGTAATAACCTTAGGATCACCTTTCTCTAACAGCTGATATCAGCCATTACAACTCTGCAGATAACCAATAGAAAACAATAATTCACATAGATAATTGAATGATTAATTGACAGTGTTTTTCGCAAAAAAACAATGCTACGCAGCGCGTTTTCACAAGCTTCAGAGTAATAACTATATATATATATTGATTAGTTTTTACTTATAATCAGTTAATCGATATAATTATTTTATAAAAACAATTTGTTTAAGAATATAAAAGAGAATGTTGCTTTGCCATTTTAGTTGAACTATGTTTCATCCGTTCTACAACCAAAACAATACAAATAAACATTTAAAATAAAACTTTTTTTGACCATTTTATCGTGTGATCGAAATATTCAAGAACTTTTTGATACACAAAAAATGTCACTAGTATTTTAACAGCTATTCTTTTGCCTTACACTGTTGCCAGTATGAATTTTGATTTATACGTTCTCTTCGATAAATGTATCACGACATAAAATATTTGTAATACTGCTCGTCAATTAGCCTTCATCGTCACAATCTACATTTCTTTAGCAAACTTTCGGACAGAAAACAATATCACACTTTTCTTTTATTACTTCAAATATTTTAGAATATTTGAATTATGGAAATGTATAGTTGACGAAAGGAACATCTTCAACATCGTTTTCTTCCAAATCATCACATAGCATATTCAACGTAAGAGAACGAACATGAGCAGGAATCTTTGATTTTGTCACCGTTTCATACAGTTCAGTAATTCTAATAGAAGGAAGAATAAAATTAATTATTGTTATAGATAACAATAATGAATATATACTTTCGTTTCATATCTTGTGCTTTACTTGTTTGACGCATGAAATGTGGACTATAAATAACGGACATTCCTGCTGAGACCATGTTCGGTACTAACTTATGTTCACGCTACAATTCACAATTCAAAATCGAAAATTCAAATTAGAAATTATTAGTCTTCTTTCGTTTACTTTGAAGTATTCAATAAATTCTTCTAATGTCATTTCACCTTTTACTTCAAATCGATCCCATAATGTAAAATCTTTGTCAAGATACTAAAATAAAAAAAAAGAAAAAAAAGAATTCATAGATTTGAAAAATTGATTGACTTTTTTTTCTCATATCTCTTTATTACATACTTTTTGACATTTTGGTGGTACTGGTTCAGAAAATCCAAAAAATGGTAAAGCCAAATTAACAAATGCATTTCGATATGATTCTATCTTTTTATGATGTTGAACAAATTTATAAACTTCAAGACAAACAAGTCCAGTAACCATGGCTGTTGTTGTTGCAATAGCAGGAATAATATTTCCTGCAATTCTTTTGATTTTACTTCGATCAGCTCTTTGTATTTCATAATTTTCAGCTCGTAAATTAGCTGTTGCTGTAATATAATCCATATGAAAGTTAGTATCATCATCTTTTTCAAATTCATGTGGTTGAATTTTAATATCAAG